GACAAACGGAGACTGGACCTATCAGTTTCACTCTTACCTGGAGCACACACCTGGTGGGAAGGACAAGGTCAGCTGCACGGTGGACCACGCCAGCCTCAAGGAGCCCAAGATTTGTTCCTGGGGTGAGGATTTTCATAGTGGATCTTAAGTGTTATTTGTGTGTTTGTGTGTGTGTACTTTACACATTTAATCTACATCTTCCTTGTTCTTTTGTTGCAGACTCATCCGTGGATCAGTCGACAAGGAGCTTTGTAGCTGGTGGAGTCTGTGCTTTGATTTTGGGAGCCATATTTGTTTCTTTGGGTCTGACTCGGTACTGGAGGAAAAGCCGTCCAAACGTTTCTAATGTCCTCTAAAGTCAGTCAGTGATGCAAACATTTTCATCTTCAAAAGCTTAATTGTATATTTGTGTGTGTATTTAATATCTGTTGAAGGTTAGTGTTCTCCAGTCCAACACTGATGTTATGTAGAACTTAAAATCTGATTTTGATGATCAGCCGTTGCCATAAACAAGCCTGAGGAGTCACTTATATACATTAACCTGCTTTGAACTGTAGAAAGTGTATCGTCAGCAATTTTAAGTTAATATTACTCCATTTGTTTTATGCAATCATTTTATAAAAAATGAGTACGTTATCATTTTGAGGTGAAATAAATGAAAGTTTTTTAATTACAGGGACATTTGTACATCTGTGTTGAATTTTTAAAAAGATTTAGGGGCTTTAACAGTTACCATTGAGTTCACTTTAGAAACTTGTGACAAAGTTAACTATCATGACTCTATATAAAAAGCAGGTATCCATCGACACTCTATATTGTCTTTTTAGGGGGCTTTCTTAGGTCTAATCTCTGCCAACAACACCTATAAGTTTGAGTCTGAACTGATCACAGATTTGTGAGATTAAGTCTGTAAAAGTCATATCTTTTATTACTATTTTCAAATATCACACATATCTTAAGATGTGGAGTGAACCGCGTGACACTTTTCATTACAAATGCCGATGAAATTGAATGTTTTTTTCAGCTCTCTGCAACGTTTACCACGTTCACCATCTGACATTAGCATGTTAGCCTGCTAGCATTTGCGAATTATCAACTGAGGACATAAAGCTGGCTGAGCTCTCAGAGGCCCTCAGCAGTGGTTCCATCCCATCGTCACCGCGGTTACACACACTGGACAGACAGAAGACATATGTGTGTGTCAGGACATACCGTCTCCATGGCGACGGTAAACAGGTCTGTCAGTGTGGCTTACACACAGGTGAAACATTAGCCGGGCAGAGACACAGAAACCACACACACACATACACATTCACACACACTGTGGCCGGTCAGGACAGATGGCGGATTCACAGCGAACATCTGAACCCGTCAACTTTGTGCATCAAGATGAAATCTGGTAAAAACCTGCTGACTGGCATTCTTCATCGCTGTGCATTATTTCAGTTACCTTCTATGAAAATATGTTCATGACTTCTGTTTGCTGGAGGTTTATTATTGTGTCTTTTGTTTGAAAGAAGTAAACTGTGTAAGACATTTTTGTGACCAAAGAAACTATATGTGAGCAACACTGTTCTTCTTCTTCTTCTATTATTATTATTAGTAGTAGTAATAGTAGTAATTATTATTATCATTGTTATTATTAATAATAACAATCCTCATCATCATCACAAGATAAATACGTATCTCATTATTAAGTGATAAGTTAGTGTGTTGTTAAAAAGTGATATCTTGTTATAATAATAATACAATAAAAAACTTTTCATGTTATAACAAGATACTGATCTTTTTTTTTGTTTTTTTTTGAGGAGTGACAGTTCAGCGCTTCCATAATATAACTGTCAACATTCATTTTTTCTCATCTCATTTTTGTGATATCATTTTCTTTTATTATTTATATGATAACTAAATCATGTCATGCTAACTTTTAATTTTACATCATAATAAATGACATCTGGTTTGTCGTAATCACCTGTTTTAATGACATACATAGAATGTGCAAAGAAACAAAAAAGTTTAAATATAAAATATGCTATATGAAGAACAACTTTTTGGTCAGACTGTCACCACTTTTATGTTGTACTAAAGAGAAAAACACATCATTAAAATGCGATACTGTTTTAGGAATACAGTCATCTCTAATAATTTAATTTTAAACCCTCTCCCTTCTCAAAGTTGCAAATTCAACTATTTATGTCATAGCGGAAGCAAATCTGCAGGTCGGCCTGCTTCGAGCATGTTTTGAAGCTCTGGAAATTTAACTCTCAGCCGTCAATAGAAGTGAATGAGGGTCAGATGATAAGAAGTGTTTGTGGTCAGTTTGGAGTCGGTCGAAAAAACTTAAAGCGTGCAGCAAGTGGTTGAACCTTCTGTTTCTTTTCCCTTCTTTCCCAAAGTTCTGTATAAAGCAGGAAGACACAAGTAGCACTGACTCTGTGTGTGTGTGTGTGTGTGTGTGTGTGTAGGAAAGCACATGTAAAACTTGAGAAGGATTCAGCTGAAGTCTGGCCCAACAAATGGGGTTTCCTGACCGAGGCCTCCAAAGAGGTACAACACAGACACTTGAACATTGCAGTTTGTTTTACAGTCCCAGTCTCAGATATAGTTCATAGTTACAGACTGCCCTCTGCTGCTAAAATAGAACTGCAGCAAGTGCATAATAAAGACGAGACACCAGATTACACATATAAGCAACGAAAGCTCTTTTCAGACAAGGGATACATAACATTACTGGTTTCATCTGTCTGTCATTCAAAATTAAGTCAATTTTTGCTAATTTTCGCCACATCTTCAATCAGAAATACCTGCGAAAGTGATGGCGAGAGCAACAGTACATGTGTGACGGCATACAAGCTTGACTTGTGACATTTTACTCAGCTTAGCTTAATAAGATTCTCATTATGACTTTTACAGTGAAGTGAACGGGATGTTTATTCAGACGTGATGCTAACACGTTCAGATGCCATCAGACTAATGGAAAGGAGTGCATGTTTGTAAAGAGCCAAATAAACAGTCCTCAGTAAAGACCTTTTCTGTTGTGTGCTTTTCAGTTCAAGATGGAGAGTGAGAAGCTGAAGAAGGAAGCCAAAGTGGCGCAACCTCTGAGCCCTCCAGAAAAATGCATTCATGTATGATCTATCTATCTGTCTATCTGTCTATCTGTCTATCTGTCTATCCGTCTATCCGTCTATCTATCCATCTATCCATCTATCTATCTATCTATCTATCTATCTATCTATCTATCTATCTATCTAATGAACTTTCACACAGCCTTTGCTTCCTCCCTCCAGGTCGAACCCTCTCCTCCTTTTCCTCAGACGACCCAGGGCTTGATCGGTTGGCGTTCAGCTCACTCGCACCTTCAGCTGGAAAAGCCGAGCACAATGCATCATGGGAGGCGTAGTTTTCTGAAGGAGCTGGGCTGGCCTCATGGCGCCTGCAGCTGAGTCCTCGTTTCCTTGTTGCCTCGGCAGCGATTCACTGACTCAGTATTGCATGTGGATGAAATTACATGGCAGGATGGATCGCACATGTTATGGCTTCTACGGAGTCTTAATAAAAAAACAAATATCTCTCAAAACTTTAACTTTGTACCAGATGTTGTGGATGTGAAGTGACAGGTGATCCTATAAGTGTATGCCACAATAATATTCAACAATTTTTAAAAGAAAAAAAAGTCTAAATGCTCTGATTTTACCTTCCTACAACTGAATATTTAGTAGTTTCCTTATTCCTCTGTGACACTAATCTAAACATATTTGGATTGTGGACAAAACAAGAAAACATAGAAAGTTACTACAAGTTCCATCCTGGAAAAATAACCATAAAGTTAAATCAAAACCATCATAAAACAATTTAAAAACATAAAGCTATAACTTTGGCAGGATTTATTTCAGGACTGCTTTATTTCATAACATAAGTTTTTAGTTATTATTAATCAATCAGGTGTCAGAAATTAAATTAACTTCCAAGTATCATGATTAATGATTAGTTTAAGTGTTTTATCAAGAAAGAAATCTCAAAAAATCTTTAATTCCAGCTTCTTAAGATTGAATATTTTGTGGTTTCCTTTTTCCTCTTTGTCAGTAATCTGAATATCTTATAAGACATTTGAGGACATTACCTCAAGTTCCATAAAAAACCTCTCTTGAACAATTTCGAAACCCCAAACTAGAACTTTCTGAGGGTAGAAGTTGTTTGCGGGACGGTTTTATTAGCCTGAAGTAGTTTTCTGTTCAGTGTCGGCTGCCTCAACATCTGTGCAAAAACAATCTGTACGTGGCCATAATCACAAAGCAAAATTAGAATATTAAATTTAAGTAATAAAGCAGTAAACTTGAAGAGTTGACAACCGTAAATTGTGGAAACATTTGGTCATCCGTGAAATCCCCCATCAGCGCGTCACACGCATGACTCACGTACGAGCGCTGACGTAATGACATCACGAGTTGTGGCTGCAAAGGCGGAAGAAGAGACAAAAACAACAACAGCGGCGGCGGCAGCGGCTCTCCGGCTCGGCGACGGTAGTTGACAGGAACCGGGGCGATTTACCACTTATCTGTTCGGTATCACGAAGTGCCGACTGGCTGTGTGCGTTCACCACACCAGTTACTGTTTACATTTATCGGCAAAATGTCGTCGTTCATGAGACTGTTCGGTGGCGGGGGTAAGGGTGGGAAAGCGCCGACACCCCAGGAGGCTATCCAGAAACTCAGAGAGACGGAGGAGATGTTGGCGAAAAAGCAGGAATTTCTAGAGAAGAAAATCGACCACGAGCTCATGACGGCGAAGAAGAACGGCACGAAAAACAAACGAGGTGAGAGAGAAGCTGCTCAAAGTGCGCAGTTTGACGGGAAAGTCCAACCGCTGGCTGATGTGTTCGCTAGCCTGCAGGCTAACTCAGGACAAGGAACAGCGAAGTTGGCAGTTGACAGGCTGTTCTACCTGAGCTCAAGTCCGTCCACACGGTCACACGACTCCATTTTTAAATATCTCTTTAAGGCCAGCGCAGTGTTAACACTAAATAAAACAACCGTACCGAAACACGAAGTAACTAAAAACGATTAAAAAGAGAGTTATTGACGTATGAACTTGGCGACGACGTTGGTAACGTTTGAGAAAATTAAAAACAAGTTTGACGAAACCGACCTGGGACGTGCTTTTAGCCATGTTACCAACTTCCTGTGTAAATGTGGCCTTGCAGTACTTTAACATTCCCACAATGTTGTGTTTTTTTTGTGCTGTATTTACTTTGAGTTGTCTCACAGTTTCTCCATGTTGTGTTTGTACAACAACTACTTGTGTGTCCTCTGAACAACACAAGCCTCAGCGTGTGGATCTCATGTGTGGACTTTATAATCAGCAAATAGCTCAAATATTTGTTTTTGTGAGTTATAAATTCTTAGAAAAATGTAGATGCTAGTTTCCAAAATTATCTGGACGCTTTTCGTTATCTGGATAGGAAACAGTTAACCAGCAATTAGTCTCAATTAAAAGATATTCTCTCTCTTGATGCCTTTGAGGTATTTCAGATTATTATTTTTTTGTACCTTTAATATGTGACTTAATATTTTCTTACACAAATCTATATTAATGTTCCTTGCGCTGTATTATACCAAAAGATAGGTGGTATTTAAATACCATCTTAGCAAAAGTTTTAGCTTAAAAATGTCTACAAAAGCCATCGCTTTAGGTCACCTGGTTGAGCAGTACAGGGGATGACTATATCCCCATGTACAGGGGATATAGTCTCCAATGCAGCAGCCATGGGTTCGAATCCCGCTCACGGCCCTCTGCTACAACCCATTCCCCCACTTTCCTGTCTCTCCTTTGACTGTCCTATCTAATAAAGGCAAAAAGGGGGGGAAAAAAGTCTATAAAAGTATTCTAATCAGTTTTATTTTTTCAAAAAGAGTAAAATGCAACGTCCATTTCATGTGAAATATTAGATCCGCAATGATCTTGTCAACTGCTAATTTAATTGGCTGCTGTGTCAATGATTGATTTATCAGTTTGGGTAATTTAAAAAAATAAAAAGTCAAAGTTTTCTGATCTGAATATCCTTGGCTGGTAGACAATACAAGACGTCTGTAAGCCGTCGTGGGCTTCCAGAAGCACCAAGTGACTTTTTTCACCATTTTTATAGACCAAACAAAGAATCAATTAATCAATAAAGTAATTGACAATGAAAATAATGGTCAGGTGCGGCCTTCTTAAATATAACTTGCCCTTAAGCTCTGTTCACGTCATCATGTGGAGTAATCCGTCAGCACTGAATGCATTTGCAGAAAGCAGAATTCATTTGCTATTTTTTATTTATTTATATTTACACTCTCTAAATCAATTAATTAATGATTCAATTGATTTCCCATTAAAATCTCATAATGACACAGTTTCAGACGGGCAGCTTTTATCACCCCTCTAGCCTACCTCTTACAGGGAGTGACCAGACTATCCACAACTTCTGATTCCTGTCGGATGCCTGCTGGTTAAATATTAATTTGATGCGGCCGGTTTTCTAGCTGTGGTTGCTGGGACATCTGCTGTGCCACTACAAATCCTTTCTTGGGAAAACAGCACAACACAAACATTCTGAACACCTGCATTGTCAGCGCTTCTCCTGCCAGGTTTTTTACGGGATGGTGCACCTCTTTCTAACCTGAAACCTGATTGTCAACATAGTTCATCCCATTATGAGCTCCACTCTCGCTCTGAGGTGAATGATAACATACAAGGCATATCTTCCTCATAATAAACACACCAAGCCTGATAGGTTTAGTTTTACTGCTTGTTGTTTCTGCGTTTTTACTACTATGCTAACAGAAGCAGCAGCCAATAAAACAGACTGTGGACAGTGGAAAGGAGCAGGATAATAGAGGAAAAAAACAAAAAACGAAGGGTCACAGAATCAAGTGACCTTATGCAGTTGAAGGGGGCGAAATGATTGAAGCTCTGCAACCTGCATAATCTGATAATGATTTGTGTTGATGTGGGGTAATAATGTTATCAGTCTAGAAATAGGCCCAGGTGCTGATATAATCTGATCAAACTGGAGCTGTCATCTGCCGTCTGGCTCCTGGTGGACCAGACCCACCACAGAGTAGATCCCTAAAGTTGTTTTGTGTGTGGTATTGATAGTTGGCAGCCTTGGACCCAGTGGACACTGAGCTGGTGAAAATATTTTTCAGTCTGTAGTGGCCTGGATGTGTGTGATAAATAATAATTTAGACATCTATTTATTTATTACATGACGTGTGGTTATAGATAAATGCCTGTTGAGGTTGATATTCGTCTTCAAATACTTCCTCTTTTTTAAACTTCAGCTCCTCTTGTTGTGTAGTGAAAACCAGGATTACATTTATTATTGGTTCGTCTCCATAACCTGCCCGTCTCTCTCTTTGTTGCATTAACTTTTTTTTTAGTTTTACACACTTTCACTTTGTAATAATTTCAAAATTGTGGAGCAAAGTAAAGGAGAAAGGTGTTTGCTCTTGGAAAGTGTATCTTTGAAGCTTTCTGGCCAAAATTGGTTCTAAAAATGTAAAAATGGCTGCTTTAGGTCACGTCACACAACACCAAGTGCATCTCTTTGAGGTGTGTGCCTAAATAAATAACCCTAACCCATCACATAGAAACCTTTCTCAGCTTAAGCAACGAAGAATAATAGGTTTCATTCAGGTTGACCTTTGCTAGAAAAACAAAGCTATTCAGTTTTTCCACAAACATTTTAAATAGTTTTTATTTTTGACACGTAGCTTGAACAGCAAAAGTGTTGGAGCGACATGCAGCAAATATTATAATATTTCTTTAAAAAAAACATTCTTTTTACAACATAAAATATCCACTGTGTGTGTGTTTTTATAAATAGCCTGAATCAGATAAGAGCAGGCTGCCTTCCACTGAACTTTCCAGGCCACGCCATCTTTACTGTCGCTCACAGATCGTTTCAGTTACGTGTTGGTGCTCAAGAGGGAGACAGCAAGCAGCAAATAGTTTACTACTCAACCCAGATTGTTCATTTCCCATTACTTTTTTTTTTTTTTAACCTAACGTCTGCCACAAGCTCTAATCCAAACTCTAAAACAATCTTATCCAGAAACACTCATAGCGTACGGTTGATCTCTTGTTCCCTTATCGCTCCCTCCTGCATGACTCAGCAGGTTTGGGTCACTTGTAGGTTTCAGCGGCTTCCTTCAGGAGCTGGTTTTCCATGGCAGCACCAAAGGGGAATACCCAGTGTTGTGGTCTAGACGAGCTGCTGATTTACACAGAAGAATGACCATTTAGTGGTTTACATTTCTGACCTCTTAGTCTATCCAACAGCTACTGCTGGATTCCCAAACGTCTTGCTTTTCCGTTCAGTGTGAATCAAACCTCTGTGATGAGATGCAGGTCAGGGACAAACCTGAAGCAGCCTGATTGAAGTACGCTGCGTCTGCATGCAGAGATTTGGCTCAGACAGGATTTTATCAGATTAAGTGAATCGTGCTTCATTAGGAGAATGCTGTATTTCAGCATGCAAACAGTTTGCTGCAGCTCGTCACAAAGCAAGCTGCTGCTGCTGCTGGAATGAAATGCCACAAGTCACAATGCTTCATGTTGTACTCGGACATTTGCTAATTGTGGGAATCCCAAAGTCTTGCACGTTCCATAATTATTGTTAAAATAAAGTTTCCTGTTTTTTTCATGATATAAAAATAACAGTGAAGTGATATTTTAAGAAAGCAAATATTTATGTGTCCGTTTACTTATTTTCACTACAAAACTCATCAAATTCTGTCACTTTTGGTAGCTTGTGTTTGCTGCTTGTTTATAGGTGCCACTTAATAATCTGTTTGTGTCTCTCAGCAGCTGGTATCCTAATGTTTAAACACTCATTTAGCAATAAAAAAAAAACCTTTGTTAAGAGCCACTGGTTTATTTTTATAGTGAGAACAATAATAAGAATTCAAAATACAAAAAAAACATGTGTATGTGCTCATTATAACAAAGATTAATTACCTTTCATGTTACCAGTGCACTGTTTCATTAAATTTTATTTCTTGTCAGGCATTTATATACTTATACTTAGACCTAAGAGATGCAACAATAGGCGTATAAAAAGCAAGATAGTGAAGAAATGGGCGAGAGGTGTGTTGCTCCACCGGACACTTTAAATAGCTGTTAGCATTTTTGCTGTAAGACTTCTACACTAACTCCTTGTCACCGTCTCTCTCTCTCTCTGTCCAGCGGCTCTGCAGGCCTTGAAAAGGAAAAAGCGCTACGAGAAGCAGCTGGCTCAGATTGACGGGACGTTGTCTACCATCGAGTTCCAGCGGGAGGCCTTAGAGAACGCAAACACCAACACAGAAGTGCTCAAGAACATGGGCTACGCCGCCAAAGCAATGAAGGCTGCACACGAAAACATGTAAGAGAGACATTAAGAAACAAGCGAGAGGGTTTATTATTGTAGGTGGTTGAATGTGTGGTAAAAAATACTAAATGTTCAGTCAGTGCTGGTTTTGTCTTTTCCTGTCCCGTCTCCTTTTTTTTTTTTAATCTGTTTTTGTGCCTTTATGTTTGTATTCGTTACCTTTTTTCTGCATGTCATTTTTATATACTGGTTTTTTTTTTCTGTATCTTCTTCCCATGAGTTTCTTTTCTCTCTTTATTTCCTCATTTCTGCTCTGCTTCCTTCTCCTTCCTTTCAGTTTTCCCCTTTCTTCTTTAGAACTTTCTTCTCCTTTTCCCCTGTCGTTTATCCCCTCCTTTTGGGTTACACCACGGCTCTGGAACTACTTCTTCTTTACTGCCAATCTTAGGGGATTACTGTATAGACATGTTGTCAGTGTTTTCGTTTTGGTCGGTGGCACATGATCACGTCTGTATGTATTTAGTTACTTACATCATCTCTGTCTGTCTTCCCGTTTCGCAGGGACATCGACAAAGTAGACGACCTGATGGCCGACATCACAGAGCAACAGGAAGTGGCCCAGGAAATCTCTGATGTCATTTCCAGACCAATCGGCTTTGGGGAAGACTATGACGAGGTGAGGAGAAATAGAAATGTAGAAAAGAATGGTATCCACAGAACACTGAATATGAATTGACCTCTAGCTGCCTTATTCTTGTTTTGGTTTTTTTCATCCGTTCTCATTTGAGCAGTGAGGTGCAGCCACAGCAGATAGGAACTGGTTGAAATATGAAATCCGATGCTGAGATCCTGACTTGATTTACTCTATTTCTAGCCTTTAATTATATGTATATGTTGTGGATTCATTGTGACAAAGAAGTTAGGTTTCCCATTAGCTGTCCAGTTTTTTGGAGCCTGCATTCAAACATTCTATTTCAGGTCTTTGTGATCCGGTAGGTCGTCTGTGATTTGTTGACACAACCCTGACATCTCCGTTGTTTTTAGGATGAGCTTATGGCTGAGCTGGAGGAGCTGGAACAGGAAGAGCTGGACAAAAATCTTCTGGAAATCGAAGGAACAGAAGACGTTCCTCTGCCCAGCGTACCATCTACATCACTTCCATCTAGACCAGGTACGACGTGGCACCGTAACAGGACTGGCTCTCCAGTTCTTTTTCACATCACTAACATCTGCTTCACATCCAAACTAATCCCCACGTTTTCCTTCCGTTTGTTCCGTGTTTAGCCAAGAAGAAGGAGGAAGAAGACGAGGAAGACATGGCGGACCTCGAGGCCTGGGCAGCTAACTGAGCCTGCCCTGCTAGCTAGCTAGCTCCCCCCCACCCCTCCTGTCTGTCTCTCTGCTAACAGACATCTGGAAGAGAGACAGGGACTCTGGGCTGCTGAGCTGGCTGCTGGCGTACTGCTCTGTCTTAAAGCCTACATCCCAATATCTAACCATACCCCGACCCTAAAGTATGCACTCGTGCACATGTTTGCTGACTCCAAATGAAATGAACCCGGGCTTTTCTCTTTTGATTAGTGTGACAGAATGAATCTCTTTGCTCCTGCTGTTCACTCCTCCGATTCCAAAAGGGCACAGAGTATGGAAAGACAACGCCATGCCTAACAGCCTGTGGTTATTTATACCAGATTTCTCTTTGTAAGGAAAAGAGAGCATGAATGAGCACTTAGGTGCATACTTCTAGGGAGGGGTGTGCGGAGGAACAGGACGAGGCTTGTTTCTTGGAGGAATATAAAGAATCAACAGATGTGTGGGGGATTTAAAAAAAACAACAAAAAAAACAGAACGACAACATGACCCAGCCATTTTTCTGCTTCCTGCGTTGTCATCTCTCAGCTCTTCTACAAAGATGACGACTACCCAGTTCTGCTAAATACCAACAGCAGCAACAAAAGATTAATAATGAAATAAAAGTGTAGGACTTTGTCATGAAATGCCACTGTTAAATTACATAACAAAACGGTCCCGTCCCTGTCAGTCATGTCTCTTGCTGTTACTCATCAGGAGAAGCTCTGGATGTAATCAGTTAAATTATAAATAAGAATTTGGGGGGAGGAACATTTTTTTTTTCAGTAGAACAGTTATTTAAAGGCAGACGTGAGTGTTAAACGGATTTTTCGGTCCGCTTCGATTGAAGTGAGCGGGAGAGGGACGCTAAATCTGGCACGTGCTAACTCGCTAAACATGCTAACTTACAGCTTTTCCACCACAATCACAAACTCTGAATTCTGGAAAATAATGTAATCCATGTATGATAGTAACGACTTCCTTTTGATTAAACCTTTGAATTATCTTGTGACCCTCTTTGATGTTTTTCCAATTCGAAGTCGGCTTTACTTGCGATCTCTTTTCCAAATTCTTTAGATTTATCACGCGCTTAGATTTTGTGTGGAATTCAGTCTTACAAGAACAAGCTCAAACCTGCCAAAGTTGTGCCTGGAAGTGAACTCTCTGGCAGGTGTGACCGGCTGCTCCTCCCTACCTTCGAGCAGCATTAAACACTTCCTCCACGAGACGGTGGGCAGTCTGCTGACAAACCACCAGCCTGTTCTGCTGTTTAGAAATGCAGGTTTAGTTAAATAATGATCAATAGTTATTAGTAGAGAAGCATCGATACTGCTATCAGTGCTATAACGTCATGTTTTATGCTTCATATTCAAATTCAGGATACAGCCGACTCTGCTGCGTCTGCTGGGGGCCAGGCTTCATTATGTTTCCAGGTACATTATATGTATTTAAAGGTACAACACTAAGTCACTTGAGGACCCCTTTAAGGATAGTGTGGAACAACTGTGCTCACGTACCTCTAGTGCTTTTCAGCCATAAGGTTTCTCTAGTTTTAGAATGTGTTTCTAATGCAATGGAGGTAAATTAAACTAAATTTATGTTTAAATGTAGTTCTTGAACCAACTGCACATATTTTGGTTGTTGTCGGAGCTAAATTCCTACAAAATGTCCTGACTGATTCATACAAATCAAGTAGACAAAATCTGACAAACATCCCCCATATAGCTGCTCGTTGACGTTGTGACCGTTCATACAATCAACCGATTACTCCGGTGCGGCTGCCAGAAGGCCCGTTACGACACCCCGGACGGCCTCCGTGACTGAAAATGAAATCGCTCGTGCCTGACACCGCCAGCGCCTTGCCTGTCTGTGTGGTTTAACAGTGACAAAATCTGAGAAACTCCTACACGGGTTGCATTTAGAGAGGACGAGTGTGAGTGTGTGATGTTTTTTCAGCCTTTTGACACAGTGACCTCTTGTGAAGTCAAATTGCGATGGTGAGATGAATTTTATTCTCTTTTTTTTGGAGGGGGGGGAATTTGCACTTGTAGTACTTAATTGATTTAAGCATCGAGTGATGAACACGGGGCGGCTTTGCTCCATGTTGGTCTTTGTGATAAAACCATGACGTGAGCGAGTCCAACCTCTGTTCTCTGCGCCGCCGCTCACGGCTGCAGTCAGTCTTTCTGGTAGCAGACGGGTTTATGATGGAAGAATTGGGGCCGATGGTGAGTCAGACGGATGGTTGAGATTGCACATCACACCTGATCTAGGAACAGTTAAGTAAAATAAGTAGCAAATTGACAACTTTCGCTCAATTTTGCAGTGCACAGAAACCTCCAATATGTTCGAAAATGGGTCGACCCCAATCCTGACATTTATAAAGAATAATAGTAATAAAAAACTTGCATATGCCAATAGCATTTGTTTTCCTTTTTTTTTTTTTTCCTGTTTACCTCAGATATCATTCATATTCTCTGTGCTCTGTGCTGAAACACAATGTGACCTATAGCCAGTTCTGCCCAGAGCTGTATAAAGAGATGGACATTGGAGACTTTCCATGTGGCAGTCATGCGACTGTTGTTCATGTGTGGCTGTATACGGTTTACCTTAATAAAGTTGGTATTCAAAGCAAGCGTCTGCGCTGTTGCGTCTGTACAGAGAGGGATGAGTATTCCTCTCATGTCTTTGTGAGTCAGCAAACATCTGGAGCTTGGTTCTGTATCACTGCCAGTGGCATCTGGGATTTAGGAAATGTGATGATGGTCAACACAAACTGTTCCTCAGAAGTATTTTATTGCATCCAGCTACATTTACTCAAGCAGTGTACAGTTTGAGGTCCATGTACTGTTTTTGTTTTTCTATTTTACTACTTTAAACTACATTTCAGAGCGAGTTAATGTACCTTTTACTTCACTACATGTGTTTATTTGTATGGTTAGTATTCAGATTTTACAGATGATCAGTTTCAGAGGTTGTGATTGAGCCTGAGTGCAGCTAACATGCTAGCATTTAAAGTCATTTAAAGTGATTTTATTTTTTTAGTAAAACAGCATGCTGGAGCGAGCACGATTATTATTGTCTTTGGAGTCGACTTGGTAGAACCACAGGGGTTTGGATCTGGACTCAACCCGCTTCACAGTCGTAGAAGCCTCATCGTAGGAAGGTAGCACCACTTAGCGCCCATCTTGGTGACACCCGCGAGCAGCTACTTCAGGCTAGATCCTGATCTAAACTAATGGGGACTGAGCCGTCACAGCATTTTCAAGGCCTCTGGGACATAAAAACTGCATGTGTAGACTCACCAGTTAAACTTCACAAACCTGCTTTAAAATTCTGGTGAGTTTGCCCCCAAAATACATTTTAAAAAGCATTTTCCCCACAGATCATAGTTTCACAGTACTGCACTTGTGTCAGTGCAACAACGCGATTGGCTGGATGTTTCGCGCTTTGGCTGCTCTAAAGGAGATGATTGGCTTTTTTAAAAGGGAGAGCTAGGACATGTGTCAACCACCTCTCTCCTCCAGTTGGTCCTTTATAACGTCTCTGATTGTAGACAGATGTTGGCCTCGTTCCACATTAATTTCCTCCCACGCAGTTATATCAAGAATAATAAAACCTCTGCCATGTTCTTTGACCCGGGACGTTCCTCTGCTCACGACTATGAGCCAGTATCTAATGAAATATAGTGACCAGCCACCTAACGTCATGCATGACTAGACAAATCATATTTATGTTAAGACAAGTCATTATTCTTAATAGCTTAATATCTCAATGTAGATTCTTCTCTAGCCAAGTGGAGCTTTGTTAAGAGGTGAGATTAAGGAGTTAAAGCGTCGTGACCTTTTACACCAAAGACCTTTAATGGAATCTGCTTTAAGTTATCTGGAAACCTTGTCTATCCTAACTGTCTATTTCATTTGTGTGGCTGCTGAGCTTCTCTTTCAGAGTCTACTGTGCTGGTGAAGGTGTTTCTTCTAAGTGCCCTTTGGGTATAAATAGAGGAGCTAAGTATGTTTCTCATGTTTTTTCCCCTTTATTTGGTGATTTTGTTTTAATGTAGTACTCATATGCAGACCAATTTGCCTAATAATCTTTTCTACACACACTTGTCCCCTAATGAAATGAAATGAAAAATACTTTATTCATCCCAGAAGGGAAATTCAATTTCATTCATCAAATTCAACTAATTCGGATGTACTTGTGAAGGCACAACAACAAAGTACCTCTGGCACCAATAAAAGTGTGCATGCCTCTGTCATAAATCACTTAAATGTCAACTGATTCCAAATAATATCACCTCCCAATGATTGATTTACTTCTAAGTTGAACAGCTGTGTATTCGCTCTTGTGTAAAATATTCTGCCGTTGTTCAGAAAAAATGTTTTCAGCTGCTCTTTGCTGGAGGGCTTGTGCTGCACTGCTCTTCTGTTTAAGATATCCTGAAGGTGTTCTATGAAGTCAAGTCAAGCAGCATTCTTGGGCAGGTTAAGGTTTTTTTTTTCTTTTAGAAACTCTTGTGTAATTTTGACAGCGAACTTTGGGTGTTTGTCTATATTTGATGCGTCTATAAATGTCATCTCGCCAACACTGTTTGCTCTCATGCAGCTCCAGATCATCACACTCCCACCTCTGTGCTTCACTGTCAGGACTACGTTATCACTGTGGCAGTCCTGGTCACGTTCACATCGAACTGGCTAGACCCCACCCGAGCCAAACAATATTGTTTTGGTCTCGTTTGACCAAAGAATGTGCTCCCAATATTCTTTTTTTTTTTCAATTTCAAGGTTGAAGTTTAATGACAAAGAGCAGTAAAGGGGTTCTCTTATAGATGCTGTCTACAAAGGTTCACATTACGAGTCCTTCATATTGTCTTAGCTGTCAAAAAAAAACTCAGATTTACACCAATAATCCCTGTGCCAAGTCTAAAGCACATCCCAGCCTTGTTTTCAGAGCTAGATTGGTAAAGTATTGCACTTTCTGTGGCGCCATTTTAGGAAGTTGACCGCTGCAGCTCTGATTAGTGGAAATAAAGACTCCTTCTTTATGCCCTGATTACTGCTGCAACTGTGTTTTGACACATGTTTGGTTGTTCATTGATTGTTTTTTGTTGTTTATTTAATCAGCTGGGTTAATTGAGAACATATTCTCATTTACAATAACGACCTGGCCAAGAGGCAGCACAGAGCATCCTTCTCTATTCATATGAAGTCTCACAGTCAGATTTTTTAAAATTCCTCTGTCAACTCTTTTCCTTGTGGAGCCATGATGCAAACATACAGACGGACACAACTCATAGGTCCAAAGTTGAAAAAGTCTAGTCTAGTTCAGTTAGGGAAAAGTAAATAGTGTTAAAGCATGCTTCATGTGTGTGATGTTAGAGAACAGGACTGGGAGTATTTACCAAACCAATACTTCAGACCCCCCTATAGGGGCGACGGCCGAATTGAAATATGCTCCTAAATTGGCTATAACATCGTATTTCTATTAGAGAGCTCCGGCTAACCTTTGACCGTCTTGCCATTTGAATAGTTCTTATCTCATATCAGTATTGTTCTCATTGACCACGGCTGCAGATAAAGTGGAGGAAGCCAAACCTTTGTGTGTGCTTTTTTTTTTTAGTTAATTGCAATTTGTAGCTAGATTACAAGTGTGTTCATGAGTCTGTGGTACAAAAAACGATTAAATACTCATAAAACTCAGCAGTGTTGGTACCAGGTTCCTTCCACTGTGACCAAACTTGATCTGTTACCTTGAATCTATTCGTTTATGCAAAAATACTGCAGAATGTTTAAACTCATTAGACATTGTCCTCCAAGTAGCCGTCCCACAGTAAATCATTTTCTTTTGGATTAAAGTGTTATCTTATCCTATCTTAAAGCACAGTGTTATAGAAGATGCCAAACAGCTGTGCAGCAAATCTCCACCCAGACACAGTACTCGATAAAATGATGTGTCATCATTACTTTCACTACGAGCTACTGAATGATGTAAAAAAAAAACATCAGCTGATTTCTGTCATGTCAGTCGGCACCAGTCCAGACCTCCAGACAGTTATAATGTGTTAAATTCTGGATTAAATCCAAATGTGGCTGCACATAGTTGTGAGAGAATGTGAGCGAGAACCTCAGACTGAAACAAGTTCCAGTTTAGAGGAAATATTTAACAAAGGCCACAACCAGGTTAGAGTTATGCTTATTCTCAGTGGACACACACAGACACACATTTACAAAGCGCTCTATGTAACTGTGCATTACTCAGTCTCTCCTGAAGTTAATCCCTCAGTTTGATGCATTTATTGTAATTTCTCTGTTGTGATTTTGGAATCGGGTCAAAATATTGCAGGAGTATTGACTAGTTTCTGTGTTGTAGGTCTCAGTAGCACTCATAGTACTAAGACGATGGAATGTAGTTTAGCATTTAACCAGAAGAGCAGTGTCAGAATGAACAGAGTGTTATGGGAACATGAATATATTTGCTGTATAAAGTAAGTGTGGTGCTTTAATCAGTGTTTTGAGGGCAAATGTGACACGAAATTAGAAATCAGGCCAGAAATAGATATTGAGACAAAATTAAACATAATAAATTTGAATACTAGAGGCATTTCATGTTTTTTTTTTATGATGCATTGTGCTTGTACTATCAGATCTTAGTGACTTTATGAGCTATTTATTTATTTATTTATTGAAAAGAACACTTTGTGCTGAGTGGGTGGATTCTGATGCAGGGTCTTATGAACAAGGCAGGGCCACAAACCACCAAACCACTATGTGCTTGGGGGCTTTCAGGGCCTTCTGAAAGCCTTTTTATTTAGCTAAATACAAATGTCCCATTATGATGCACATGTTTGCACTTCTTGCAGGAGCATTTATGTTACTGAGTAAGAACGCTGCGAAGTTTTTAGACTGAAATGTGCTGCTTGTGCAACCTGCATCCCAGTAAACCCAAAACACACTCACTCTCTCACTCACTTTCAAACCAAGAAAACACCGACAGAGTCCAGACAAAACTCGCTCCAACTACACAAACACTGAACGCCTCCTCGCCAAAGCTCCGGTTGTGATTGGCTGGCCGGCCCACGTCACCCGTTAGCCAATCATGTTACCCAACGGTGGGGCGGGAGCAGCGTCAGCCAATAGGAGTCCAGAATTGATCCCGATTTGAGCCGCCCTGTCGTGTAAACTCGTCCGAATGTGGCTCCGACGATAAAAAGCGAGTCGTCATGTTTCTGTCCCTCCCTCTCTGCCTCTGTCCGTCGGCCAGGCTGCTGCTGCATTCAACCTCCCCGGAACAAAACACCTGAAAGCAAACAATGTCTGAGAAACTTCCCTTCAAAGTTGGTGAGTGTCAAGGTTTATCTTTTGCGCTTTGAAGTTTAGCGAAGTAAGGCGGCCGGTTTGCTAGCTTGAATGCTGTTAAGTTTACAGTAACGTGCATTGTCAGGAAACTGCGCTCACAGGAGCCACATTCAGCTTAAAAATTAACCGTGCAACGAGAAACGTATATTGAGTTGTTTGAGTCCGATTTGACACTTATTCCATTGCTTTTAGCTGTTTTCTTTGAGCTCTGTTGTTGCTAACTTGCTAGCGTGTTGCCAATTTAATGGCGTCACAAATGTCGTTTAAAAAGCTAATAAGCTTGTTTGCTACTCGGCAGCCATTTTAGCTGGTAACCGGTACATTTTCGCTTTCTGACAGTCTCAGTTTGCAGACTTTGATGCAATTCCGAGAATGAATCGACATGTCACAGTCGTACTAGCGCCGAGCATGGGCTTCACCGTGAACAGAAACTACGTCCGAAGCCTCTGGATGTTGTAGTTTATTAGGGGAGCGAGAGACGTAACGCCCCTCTGCCCGGTCTGTGTTTGCAAACTGTACTTCCCGTGATGCCTTGCGTCTAGCCGCCAGTTTCTGCCTGAGTGACAAGAACAGGCAGAGATTAAGCTGCACTGTGTGCAACTTACATAGCAGTAATGCTGGAAGAACACGTGGTGTTTCTGTACCGCGGTTCTTGGGGCTGAAAGGTTTTGATTGTGTGAAGTTTCTGAATCGGAGTCCGGTTTTATTTTTATGCATTAGGTGTCTTTTTTTGCCTCCAGAAGTGGAGAAGCTTCATATGAAGGGGAGAAATATGAAAATTAATAAAAAAAATCAACATGTGTTGTTAGTACTTTGCTTTAAGAAATTAAGAACTCATTGAAATGAAAAGCAGTAATTCTGCTGAAAATGTCAGGGAATCAAAAAACAAAACAAAAAAACATTAAGGTACTTTTTTTTTTTTTTTTTTAAGACCATGCAATTTCAGTTTGTCTTCACGAGCTACCAAATGTGAATCACACCTGCTGTGACTGCTGCTCTGTTGCATGTGAAGCAGCTGCTTCAGAGAAAAAGTTGCACAATGACCTGCAGGCAAATATGCCTGGTGCAAAGTCTGCACATTTTTCAAGGACTGCATGCAATCAGTGGTCAAGGGTTCAAATGAGTGCCTGCATCTGTTAAGTCTTCACTTGTTAATTCATCCTGTATCATTCATTTACTACGAGCAGTGCAACATTTTGTTGTTCCTGTCAGAGGGTCAAGTCAGAGCAGCGTTTTGTGTTTTTGATGTTGGAGCTCTGGTGCTGTCGTTATTTTATTATAGCTACAAAGGCGAGCCGACGAAATTGCCTTTTGTTTCACCACCTCCACTGTATAGATTAATCAATTAGATAACGATTGATACTCATTGAGCTGCAGCGACAGAGTGGCATAAACAGATGCCCCACTTATTAATTGCATGGTCTTCTTGAGAACAATATCAAAGTTTACGGGGACATGGTAAGCAGATGGCATGCTAGTAAAACAATAATTAAGAAAAAGCAAAGTTTTGTTGTTGTTGTGATAAGACACATTTGAGCTTGTGTTCTTTATTCGTTCGCAAGTTTCAAATGCAAAGTTGCACTTACTTTCATTCAAAGTAAAACCTTCTCCACTCTTGAAGCTAAAAAACATGTGCTGCAGCAGCTGTTGTGAGGTGAAAGGAGCGACTGTGCAGACAGTGCAAACCTGTTGTGTCACAGCTGTGGCTGTGTTAATTTTCCCACTATGGAAACAGCATGGTCTGAGAAGAGAGGGGTCTATCCTCCCCTATGAGAAAATGACAGTATTGTGTAAGGATTAGATAAAAAGGAGGGGATACCATTAGATAATTAGATATGCCTGTTTTCTCAATACATTCCAGCAGATTGTCTGGTTAGTAAAGACGAGGTCCTGATTAATTTTTAGCGCGACTGTTAACATGACGGGTTAGACATACTTTTGTTTTTTTTCCGTGTGTGCAAGTTTAAATCATGTTAAGATGTGTGCAAAGTCTCTCAACAAATCTAGACATGTTTAATGTTCTTGTCAAGCATCTGGTTGTGTTGTCAACTGAAATGCAGCTTTTGATCAGTTTATTGTGGATTGATTACAATGGGTTGTAACAAACTGGAATTATTTAAGACAGATTTTTAATTTGACATAACACAAGGAACTGTTGTATTATTGGGAACAGTTTCTCATTAGGATAAAATTGGATTTTTAAAAATTATGTTTAAAACTACAGACTTATCTGATTCAAACAGGATTAAAGGAAGTTCTGCTGTTTATGGTAAATGTAAGGCTTTAATCCAGCTGTGTCTCTCCCTCTTCTAGCCGACATCAGCCTGGCTGAATGGGGACGCAAGGCCATCGACATCGCCGAGAACGAGATGCCCGGCCTCATGAAGATGAGGGAGATGTACGGGCAGTCCAAGCCTCTGAAGGGCGCTCGTATCGCCGGCTGCCTCCACATGACCCTGCAGACCGCCGTGCTCATCGAGACCCTCACGGCCCTCGGAGCTGAGGTGACATTTACCAGCTGTTTATTAGTGTTTGTTCATTCAGAGAGCTTCTGGTGATCAGTCTTGACTTGAGGAAAAGCGTTTTTTCCTGCTCTGGTAGTGTCAGCAGCTGTTTCCTTCAAAATTCATTGAACTTGTGCAAATTAATGTATATGAAGCCCTTTTTTTTTTTTTTGATCTAGTTGCATTAATCGGACTCTTTCAAAAGATTCAAGAGCAGTAAGTGCAGGGGAAAAAAGTCACAGTTCAACATGATCCACTCAGTCTGGTCGCCATTGTTCAGAAGTACATGAAGTTCAACACAGTGACGTAGGAACACCTCAGAACGAGCATTTTGTGTAACGTAAAGTAGCACATAGGTATATTCACAATAGTGTAGGCTGCTTTTGGAGGAACTGAGTCCTTCTGCTTTTCAATTTAAGAAGCCCATCATACTCTATCTTATACAATCTTGAACTTTGAGAGTGGACACGGAAACCTTGTAACATCATCTGGTTGTACATTTGCCAGTCGTTTTTATAGGAGACAGGACAGGTTTTGCCAACGTCCAAATTTGACAGTTAGTCTTTAACCACTGATGGCTTCTCGAAGCACGTAAATGGTTTATGTGACGCATAAAAGCATCTTGATGATCAAATATAACTCTCTATATTTGCTTTCTTTAGAACAAATCGTAGCTTTTGTGGCACCAATGTGTGGAGCTCAGTCAAATAGGCCTAATGTTCAGCTTCTCTGTGGACTTTGTTTGCCGCCTCATGTCTTGCTCAAGTGTAGTAGTTATTGGGAGGACAAGTTTATTGATCCATTTTTCTTTTTGGAACAAAGCATCTGTGACTGTGGGATTTTCTGTCTCCCTCTGTGTGTCTCAAGGCCAGAGTGTTTTGTTATCATGCTGGTTTTATCTGTCTGACCAGGACTGGTCTCATCCTGCAGGAACCTGCAGCCTGAGAACCAGCGGAGAGCAAATAACGGCCTCCTCTCTCAGCATGTTTTTGTTCCCTAATTTCTTTTACTTCTCACACAGAACTAGACCAGCAGCACTGTTGCAGTAAAACAAGAAAATCTTAACTTCCATATTACTGAAGTTGGTCATTCTTGGGTTTATATTAGTTTTTTTTCACATGTCTAATGTCTGTGTTTAGGTCTAAATGGCTCTTAGCTTGAACAATGACTGTTCATTATATTGAAAGGACACCAGTAAATCTTTGAAATATTGCTAATATAGTTCCATGTTAATGACCAGTGGGACCAGAGACGTCAAATCCTCAGTGTCACTTCTCAAAAATGAGCCATAAATATGTCTACATGTGCTCTTTGCCCTGTTTAATTAAGATAAACTAAAGACTGAAGGACACGTTCTATAGCCACACAGCCTTGATGGAAGTCATGGACTTTTGCACTGTGTTTGGGGTTATAGAGAACGAAAACAACATATTTGTCACTAACTATTGCTATGGTATATCTAATTGTGTTATAGGCAGACACTAGGCACATTATATCATAAGTGATGCTGGTTTAATGCCCCTTGAGGCGTTGCAGCCCAACC